TTGTTCATCTTGTTTATCATTTTACAGGTTTACAATCGACGAGAGATGAAAGTGCTCTACTTTTTTCGACATGGCGTCGATAGCTTTCGAATTCTGCTCATGGCGAAGACTTGTTGCTTCTCGTTGTAATACCTTGCAGGTTTCTCTGATTTGATTATCAGTGTCTTCAAGAACTTGATTGCCTGTTGATTTATTTTCCATAAGCATTTTTCTCACCCTGCCTTTTTTCTGAGAACCAACAAATGTTGAAATGCTGTCTCAAAGTAGCAAGTCGGGTTCAAACCAGGTATAAATGCGTGGTCGTTTGTCAACAAAACAAGTAATGCGTGACTTGCGATAGCATGACACGTTTGAAACATTTAAATCAATTCTAAAATACGTTTTTAGCCAGCGTTCTCATCTCAAGATTTACAAGTGCGAAGAGTTAAGTGAAATAAAACTTTCAGAACATGCCTTAGTTGATTCATTTGACGTGATTTCTAGATGTTATTTATTAACTGAGAACTGCGCCCGTCGCTTATAGCTACTTATCTGCATGAAAACTATGAACGCATGAATGTTCACTTTATGCTATTTTGTCCCCTCACATGACCTTAACGAATGTTTTCTAGATTATTATGTTTGAGAAAACATCGAGACGTCAAACAGCGGTCATATTTAGTAGCACCAATTATATCTTATGCCTACTATTTGAATCATAATCAATGCAGAAGGCAGCATTCATCCGATGAGATAAATAGCTTCATAAATTTAAAATTTAATTCTTGAATCAAGAATCGTAATCGGAAGTCTGACAATTCACATGAATGCACCACCGATAAGTCAGCAGTATATTTATTACGTTTCATAAAGAACGGCCTACCAAATCCTATTTTTAATATTTTTTTTTCACCTCGCTATTTTCCACCGGTGAAACGAGTGCACAAATAAAAAAAAAATATAGATAAAATGAAAGTGTTGAACAGCTTTTGTATCAGTGCTTGTGACGGCTTCTTTTCCGTCAGCCAGACAACTGGAAAGCTTTCCGTATAACCCAATGCTATTCTAAAACAATGCAAAGCTTTAGTCCCAAATTAAAGGCAATCTACTGTTTTTCCATTGCTTTCTTTATCCAAAAACAGAATGTTTAATGAAGTGTGGAACTTTTCTTGAAAAGATTTCCTTATAGACATAGTCTGAGAGTGTAGTATGAGTCTCCACGGGAATCTCGTACTTTGCTTTACCTGCGGACAGAAGACAATAATGCTTTTTGATGTAAAAAATGAAAATAAAAGTTAACCTTTCAAAAAAAGTTATAACCGAGAAGATAGTTCAAATCATTGTGAAGTTTAACCTGCTGGCTTCTCAAATGTTTGTGACGGTTGTCATCAACAGATTCCAAAGACTTCGAAGTCTGTTACATTAAAATTTCGAGCTCCCGTGAAGAATGTGCTCTGCTGTCCGGTGGGAAGCTTATACGTGTGGCCGAGATTACTGTAACTTGAATCGCTTGTGTTAGCGTTATTCACTATATGTAAGTCACGCCCTCCTCCAAATGTTGGTCCATAGCTGCTGTAACAGTAAATAGCATTGTGCTGATTTTGTACAAGAGGCATTTTACTGGGAGCCACTCCTTGCGGATTCACCATGCTGAATAGGAATGACTGCGAGCAGCGCACGTAGTTACCCTGACCTGTTTCAGAGAAGAAAACCAAAAATATTGATGCAAATTTTGGAACAATGTTCAACTTCTACATTTCTGAAGCAGCTTTAGATCACATCCGAAAAGAAACAGCGATGATCTCGACTACTGCCCTCCTCCCTCCCCCGTCCCTTCTATACACCTACAATGTGCTAAGTTTAAGGCCGACAAACATCGGTTTAAGCAGCTTCTGTGAAGAACAACAATTTCCAAACCTTGTTGTACAAAACTATTTTAAAACATGTATAAGCTGTGGTGTCAATGGGTTTTAGTTTTCTTTGCTATTGGTTTTGCTCAGGCGTTTCATTGTTCCGACTTTGGGAAGAGATGTAAAACATACATGTCTACAAGATTTTTTAATTCGGCAAAGTGTCGAGACAAGTAGTGATTTGAATAGCTTAAAATCTCTAAATGCGTAATCGTTTTCTCGTCTTTCAGAAAACAGAGACACCTTCTGTATATGAAAGTAATATGTTGTAAGCCTTTTCTATTACCTAAGCTAAAACATACAAACAACGCGTTAATCTTAAGTGGCCATAGCCCACCTTCTAAAATCATATTAAACAAATCATTGTTTATGTTTATTCATGTTTATAATTTGCAATGCTTGACTTTCAGTATTTGAAAAAAATTTGAAGGCAATTTATTAAACTAAATCTATTAATATTTCATTTTGATTTCCTCAACTTTAGATATTCTGCAAAGATCTTAAGCCAGCTTTTTATTTTTCTTTTCACTTCTCGTTTTCCCTCTCCACTTTCTTGTTATTTTGCGGATTTTGTAGTATCCTTCAAATGATAATTTAAATTCAACCGCGCTAAATGCGACCAAAAATACCTTTACTTAACCCTGTCACTACTAACTAATATACTTACTGCTCCACGATGTTTCAGTGAATCCACCGAAAATATTGTTCCCGCTCTTCACGATGGTGACAGTGGGCCCTTAGTTGTCACATTTGGAATGAAAGGTTTGAGCTTGAAAGCCTTCTTCAGAAGCTCGCATCAGAAGCTGCCATTTGCCGTCTTGTTGAGGTAACCAGCCGCTCAGCACACTTCGGTGTTCTTCGTTCGTCACAATGACTGATTCTTCGAAATTCTGCAAGGCTTTAGGCATCAACTCGTCCAATATTCCTTGGATCAGGTAGAATTTAGCTTCAACTTCGAGCTCTTTGAGAAATGTTGCACCATCTGGTAAAATTAACTCCCCATTGCGAAGATAATTAAGTATAAACCGGAAGTGAGTTCCATCCCGGTCGATGAAGAAAGCACCGTCTTTACAACGTTCTATTTCATGCCTCCCGGAAAACATGGCAGCCAACATGGAATCTGGATCCTTGGTAAGCGTTCGAAGAGTCGTTGTGAAGCGATGACCCCCGACATTTAGCTCTATAATTGAGGGAAAGTGAACATGATCCAACTTCTTCGACATGGCGTCGATCTCTACCCGCTTTTAGCGAAGTCTATCTGCTTCTTGCTGAATTATTTCGCAAGCCTCTTTGAAGTGATCTTCTGCAGCTTCCGAACCTTTTTTCTGTTGTTTCTACCTCTTCGTAGAGTCTCTTTTACTCATGGTTGCTTAAAGTACAAACGATATCCTGAAAACGAAAGGAACTCTTTTAAGACTCCCGCATGGCCGTAAAGCATGATGAATGCAGTCATGCTTATTTTAAAAGTAATTTGGTGATTTTTAAATGAGGTAGTACACACTATTCGCAATGACGCAAGTTGAGACCGTAACCTCACTTATTGTTACTCGGGAAGAAAAATTACTCGCACTCAAAGCAAAGAGGTGCCGCTAAAGGTAATAGCTGGTTCACTTTTTTTTCACTTTATTTCACAAAAATCAGCGGAAAATCTTTAATTAAATCAATCAATACCAAAGCAAAATAAGATTAATCAGCTGCAAGCTGTACAGAGTTATCTTAAATAAGGCAAGGGCCATTTTATGTTGCACTCGTAATTACTCTGTATTTCGATTTGTTTCGTAGAGTAGATGCTGGGGAAAGATCATTTCATTGCTTGTGCGACTTCGATAATGAATCATTCTTAAGCATATTTGTTTTTCATCTGAAGTTTGAAAACATGTACTTCGATTAAGAAAGAACGGAAAAAGATCTTGGTGCGATTTTTGAGCGCATGGCTTTGTTCAGGGTGGTTTCCAAATAAGCTTCACGCGCTATTTTTTTTCTAGAGCCGATGCACCTATACTGGTCTTCTTTTTGGTACCGATGTAAGCTGTACTTACCAATCTACTGATGCCTGTTTGTAATTCAGAGATATTGCTTCAGAATTGTTATTGGCATTATAGAACATGAATATATTTTTTGGAATAAGACATCAATACATCTGCTGAAAAAGTGGCCATATCGTAATCAAATATATTTTATTTAAACCGGTTTTAACTCAATGAAAATCAGAAACGGTTTACTAGAAAGCTGGTTTTCCTATAGGTTTCAAGTAGTTACTAACTTGCGTTTTCAATGTGCTGAGTTTAAGGCCGACAAACATCGGTTTAAGAAGTCTCTATGAAGAAAAACAATTTCAAACCTTGTTTAACAAAACTACTTTAAAACATGTTTAAGCTCTGGTGTGAATGGGGTTTTAGTTTCCCTTTTTCATTGTTTCAACTTTGGGAAGAGAGGTAAAACATAAATGTCTTCAAGATCTTTTAATTGCTGCGAAGTGTCGAGACAAGTGGTGATTTGAATAGCTTAATATCTCTTGACATACGTAATCGATTACTCGTCGATCAAAAAACAGAGAATGTTTTGACGATCTTAAACAAGGCATTATACTCAACAAGCACTAAATATAGACATTGGGCAATTACGTATTCTAGCTGGGTTAACGCACCAGTCTTACCGGGTAAAATGACCCTTGTATCATTACTCCTCTAAGAAAAAGAGACACCTCTTGTATATAAAACTAATATGTTGTAACTTGTTTCTTATTACCGTGACTAAAACATAAAAATAACGCGTCAACCTTAAGTAGGCATAGCAAACCTTTAAAAATCGTCTTGAATGAGTTCTGGACACTTACTGTTCATCTTGTTTATCATTTGCAATGCGTGTCAATATTTGGAAAGTTTAAAGAAATTTTTTACACTAAATCTACTTATATTTTATTCTAATTCCCTTGACTTTTGCAATGCCAAAGATCCTAAGCCAGCTTTTTCTCTCTTTATTACGTCTTGTTGTCTCGTTGCGCTTTGTTATCTTAGGTATTTTGAAATATCCCTCAACTAAAAATGTATATTTAATGACGCTAAATGTGACCAAAAATACCAGTATTTAACCCTGTCACAACTAACATACTTACTGTCCCACGATATCAGCGAATTCTCCAAAAATGTAATTTCCACCCTTTACGATGGTGACAGTAGGCTCTTTGTTGGAGTGAAACGTTTCAGCTTGGAAACCATCTCGGGAACCTCGGAATAGAAGCTTCCATTTTCCCTCTTGTGGAGACAACCAACCATTTAACACGCTTCGGTGTTCTTCATTCGTCAGAATCACTGATTCTTCAAAATATTCCGGTACTTTAAATACTAACTCGTCTAGAATCCTTTGGATCTGGTAAAACTCAGCTTCTTCCGCAAGTTCGTCTAGAAATGTTGCTCTTTTTGGCAAAGTTAATTTCCCAGTGCGGCTATAGTTGAGTATAAACCGGAAGTGTTTGCCATCTCGGTCGATAAAGAAAGCTCCGTCTTCTGATGGTTTCACCTCGAACTTCCCGGAGAACATAGCAGCCAACGTCGAGTCTGGATCTTTTGTCAGCATTTGAAGACTTGCCGTAAAACGGCGGCCGCTAACAGAGAAGTTTACAATCGACGAGAGAGTCTTGTTCCTTCTCGTTGAAATATCTCGCAGGCTTCTCTGATTTAATTTTCAGCGTCTTCAAGAACTTGATTACTTGTAAAATTATTTTCCATCAGAATTTTTTTCTCTCCAGTTTTTTTTCTGGGAACTTATAGATGTTGAAATACTGTTTCAGGAATAAGATCGTGGTCGTTTGTCAGCAAAACAAGTGATGCGTGACTTGCGATAGCGTGACACGTTTCCTTCTCATCCTAATACTTACAAATGCGAAGAGCTCAGTGAAAGATCACTTTCAAAACATGCCTAAGTTGTTTCAATTGACTTGATTTCTAGATGTTATTTATCCAAGAGCTGCGCCCGTCACTTATAGCAACTTATCCGCGCAAAATTATGAACGCAGGAATGATCACATTATGCTATTTTGTCGCTTCACATGGCCTTAACAAATATTTTCCAGATGATTATGTTTGAGTAAACATCGAGACGTCAAACAGCGGTCATATTCAGGTTAGTATCACCAATTATATCTCATGTCCGCCATTTGAATCACAATCAGCGTAGGCAGCATTTGCCCGATGAGTTAAATAGCTTCATGAATTTACAGTTTTTCCTTTCAGCAAGAATCGTAATCCAAAGTATGACAATCCGTATGAATACACAACCGACAAGTCAACAGTATATTTATTACGTTCCATAAAGAACAACCTACCAAATCCTACTTTTTGTTTGATTTGTTTCATCCGCCTCTTTTCCACCGGTGAAACGAGTGCGCAAATGAAAAAAGTTTATAGATAACTGGATCGTCTACGGCTTTTCTACACATTTATTTCCTTAGGAATTCGAATTGTCTAGAAGGGCTCCCGGAATCTACTAAAAGTAAAAGTGTTGAACAGCTTTTTTATCAGTGCTTGTGACGGCTTCTTTTCCGTCAGCCAGACAACTGGAAAGCTTTCCGTATAACCCAATACTATTCTTAAACAATGCAAAGCTTTAATCCCAAATTAAAGGCGATCTACTGTTTTGCCATTGCTTTCTCTGATCCAAGAACAGTATGTATAATGAAGTGTGGAACTTTGCTCGAAAATATTTCCCCAATAGACATAGTCAGATGGTGTAGTATGGGTTTCTACGGGAATCTTGTAATTTGCTTTAGTTGCAGGCAGAAGAAAATAACGTATTTCGATGTAGAAAATGGAAATAAAAGTTAAGCTTTTGAAAAAGTTATAACCGAGAAGATGGTTCAAATCATCGTGAAGTTTAACCTGCTGGCGACGGTTGTCATTAGCAGATTCCAAAGACTTCGTAGTCCGTCACATTATAATATTGAGCTCCCGTGAAGAATGTGCTGTGCTGTCCGGTGGGAAGCTGATACGTGTGGCCGAGATTACTGCAACTTTTATCACTTGTGTTTGCGTTATTTGATATATGTAGGTCGTGCCCTTCTCCAAATGATGGCCCATAGCTGCTATCACAGAAAATGGCTCTCTGCTGATTTTTTACAAGAGACATTTTACTCGGAGCCACTCCTTGCGGATTCATCATGCTGAATAGGAAAGACTGTGAGCAGCGCACCCAGCTACCCTGACCTGTTTCAGAGAAGAAAAACCAAAACGTATATTGATGCAAATTTTGGAATAGTGTTCAACTGTTATATTTCTAAAGAAGTTTTACATCATATCCAAAAAGAAACGGCGATGATCTCGACTTCTAACCTCCTCCCTCTCCCATCCCTTCTACACACTTACATGTGCTTTTGAAAGAGTCCTATCGAGAACAGGGGCATGGGAAGAGGGACTCTAGCAGCCCTAATACTCATGCTTACAACGTCGAGCCTCCTGCGCTAAAGAGAACCTCTTCTTTTTAAAACTAATTTGTTGTAACTTGTATTCTATTACTCAAGCTTAACTAGAAGCAACGAGTCAACCTTAAGTAGGCATAGCCCACCTTTAAAATCGACTTGAACGAATTATTGTTTATGTTTATTCATGTTTATCATTTGCAATGCTTGACTGTCAATATTTAAAAACGTTTGAAAGTCTATTAATATTTCATTATGATTTCCTCAACTTTAAATCTTCTGCAAAGATCTTAAGCCAGCTTTTTATTTTCCTTTTCACTTCTCGTTGTCTCTTTCCACTTTCCCGTTATTTTACGGATTTTGTTGTATCCTTTAAATTAAAATTTATATTCAACCCCGCTAAATGCGACCAAAAATACCTTAAATTAACCCTGTCACAACTAATTAATGCACTTACTGCTCCACGATATTTCAGTGAATCCACCGAAAATGTTGTTTCCGCTCTTCACGATGGTGACAGTGGGCCCTTTGTTGTCACATTTGGAATGGAAGGTTTGAGCTTGAAAGCCATCTTGAGAAGCTCGCATCAGAAGCTGCCATTTGCCGTATTGTTGAGGCAACCAACCGCTCAGCACGCTTCGGTGCTCTTCAGTCGTCAGAATTACTGATTCTTCGAAATTCTGCGAAGCTTTAGGCACCAACTCGTCCAATATCCCTTGGATCTGGTAGAACTTGGCTTCAGCTTTGAGTTCTTTCAGAAATGTTGCACCTTCTGGTAAAATCAACTCCCCACTACGAAGATAATTAAGTATAAACCGGAAGTGTGTTCCATCTCGGTCGATAAAGAAAGCGCCGTCATCAGCAGGCTTCATCTCAAACTTCCCGGAAAACATGGCAGCCAGCATCGAATTTGGATCTTTGGTCAGCGTTTGGAGACTTGTGGTGAAGCGATGACCGCCAACATTTAGCTGTATTGTTGAAGAAAAGTGAACATGTTCCAACTTCTTCGACATGGCGTCGATAGCTCTCTGCTCGTGGCGAAGTCTTACTGCTTCTCGTTGTAACATCTCGCAAGCTTGTTTAATATGGCTCTCAGCGTCTGTTAAGACTTGATTATGTTGATGATCGTTATCTCCTAGATCTGGTTTACTCATAGTTTTGTTTCTGCCTCTGAACTATCAGTTGAAATTAATGTTGTTACTTTCGTTTAGGAAGCTTTCGACCTAGAGTTGCGACATGGAGTTGCGTGTCAACAAGATGATTCGGAGAGAGACTGGTAAGGAAAACGAGACAAGGCGAGCTGGGCGAACAGTGAATGATATTTGCAGACTGTATTTTTGATGACACTGATAGTATCTTAACCGTCGCTAAAAATTTTGCGTTAAAGTAACGTCATTAAGAGTATTATATTCTTCAGAGGCTCTTAAAAAGGTCTTAAGAGCTAATGTCGACATGGATCAGACAAATAGCGGCAAGTCACCTAAAATTCGTTTTCTCTCCTACTTTCATATTTTGTAGCCCAATATGTCCTAATAATTGTGGTGTAGTTTTTTTGTGAAAATATATTTTAGTTTTTGAGAAATGAGTTTTTTCGTTCGACCGCTCAAATATGCAAATTTTCATCCTGAATATTACCCGAGTTGTGTGACCTCATGTAACGAATTTACATGACCTCCGGTATTTCTGACGGCATAATCCTATGTTTTATCATCTAAACTTAATTCCCTGTCATTATTGAAGCTGGCAAAGAAATATTTTTTTTTGGTGAATATTTTTGTCCGACATCCTTTTTCTATGTCGAAAAGTAGCATCAAAATAAAGCCAGTTTTAACAATGATCGATATGACAGAATCTACTGAGCTTCTAGCTTTTAAAAGGCAAAAGGATGGTTATAAAGTTACTGTAAAAATTTCCTTATGTATTTGTGTTGTTCTATCGTGAGACGAACTCAAAGTCCGGCAAAATTTACTTGCTTGCGACTATGAAATATACTTGGTGTTCCTACTTGTCGCCACTGGCATATCGAGGCATAAATCACTACAATTTGTAAAAACTCTTACCTTGTTTATTTCTGATTTTATAAGACCAGTAAACTGTTTCGGTTATTATATTACGCTTGGGTATTACTTTTTGCCGGAAGCCCAGGTTTTACGTTATGCCCATTCATATCAGAAGCTGGTCACGCAATAGTTGATACCAACACAAATGAATATTTACCCTGTATGAAGATTTTTTTTATGTTGAATTGACAGTATTACAATATGTTACTTTTGTGGTCACTAATCGTTGTTTCAGTAGCAGCGTAGCAGTTCAAAGTGGGCTATTGCTTCAACGCTATTGAAATTTATAGTGTTCTGGCAGGAGAGCAAAGCGTGACGCAATGGGAATAAAAACTCTTAGGGGCCTTTACATGATATCGGAATGACTTTTGTTCAACAACGAGTTCATCTCAGTTGCCACATGATACCAGAGTAAAATTATTCGAAACGAGTCATTTCTGAATGAGTTTATTGAGGTTTTAATTCCAGAAGGAAACACTTTTTCTGGACGACCTTTTGTACCTGTATAAAGTACACGCGGTACGATACTCATATCTGTATGAATCCTCTTTAGGAACGAGGGAAGCATAGAAAAAGGACGTAAATACTTGTTTTTACAAGCTAAATTAACTTGCATGTAAAGGCGATATGAAATTAATTTCGTTCCGGAACGAAACCCAAGGGGGAAGGAGGCGATCGGAAATGGGTGAGGATGCTTGTCGTACCTTTCAGGGGTCAAAATCAGTGATCTGGTACCTTTTAAGGTGTCTCAAACCTTAGTGGACTACCAGAGACCTAACTGGTATCTTTTAGGGGTGTTTTTCGCTCACTAAAATACCTGTACTAAGCATTACTAGGACGATTTTAATGATCTGACTTGAGCCTCTGGAGCACATCGATAAAGGAGCTCTTATTTTTGGCATTTTTTAATTTTTTTGTGTTTAAATTGGTACTTTTCAGGGGTAGATATCAGTTGTTGCCACTCCCACACGCATAAGACTCAGGAACCTTTTATAATTCTATAGGGGTCGTTTTTCTAAATGCCCGGCGCGAATCCTCGCCCTATTATGTATAGGGGTTCCCCGGGGATTGCTGATACGTGCAGCACACTTGAAATTTAGCAAGGACAAATTTTGATGTGATTTTCGGTGAAGAGAAAAAAGTTTTGTCAGCGTTTTGTAGCTATTGAGGAAGGGCCCTTTACCACTGTGTGCTTAATTACGCGTCCCGCCAGACGGCGGGAAGCTCAGAGTGCCTCAGACATCAGTGTAGAAAACTCCGCCTTTGTCTGGATTTTTTGTAGCCTATTGACCAATTCCTAATCGAGGCCTAAGTCTGACGGGACGCATAATTTTGCACAATGTGGTAAGTAGCCAGGTTATATAAATTTTCCAGACGTCTTGCGTACTATCTGTGGTACACTGCTTGCCAACTCCCCAATAGGCTTTTGGAATCGACTTAGCCCTACCTTTACCATTTAGGCACTCTACATCTACTACTGGAACCACGAATCCACCCAACACAGGTACCGAGATTTGATCTATGAGAGGGGCAAACTGTAAAATCATCGATATCTTTTGGGCGTCTCGAAGATGCCGGCTCGCGATAAAATAAGATCAACTTCAGTTTCTGGTTCTCCGCAAGTAACTTGAAATGTCTTTTTTACAATTACGCAAGGGAAAGACCTGAGATATGCGACGGCGGTCCTCTCGATAACTATACCCAAAAGTCCCACCAGAGAACGATTTAATTGAACAGCAAATCTCCTTGTTAGCATGTAAGATGAGACGCTTACACAACAGATCAATTAGGTAAATCAGTATGTAGCTTGTTTATCGAATTGACTTTTGTAAACATTCTTTGACTTCCGCCGGCAAAGGAATCATTGATGGATCTGGACATTTTAATTTTCTGAATAAAGAATAAAGTAATTCTCGGAAGGTTTTTATAGATATGAAAAGGGAAAAAAACCTATCTCTTGGTAATTCGGAGGTTGATTCATCTTTGAATTTATATGTGTCACGCTTGTCATGAAACTGATATAAAAAAATGGAGAAGATTTAAAAATGCAAATTAAATCTGGCTAAAATGTGGTAGAGCATAACTTGATCATCGAAACGGCCGCTAAAATCATAAATAAACAGGGTAGGAGTTTCTCTAGTGATTTATGCCAGTAAACGGTGGCGGCAGGTAGGCACACCAATGTATATTTCATAGTCGCTAAAAAGTAAATTTTTCCGGACTTTGAGTTCGTCTCACGATAGAACAACACAAATACATAAGGAAATTTTTACAGTAACTTTATAACCATCCTTTTTCCTTTTAAAAGCTAGAAGCTCAGTAGATTCTGTCATATCGATCATTGTTAAAACTGGCTTTATTTTGATGCTACTTTTCGACATAGAAAAAGGATGTTGGACAAAAATATTCACCAAAAAAGAAATATTTCTTTGCCAGCTTCAATAATGACAGGGAATTAAGTTTAGATGATAAAACAAAGGATTATGCCGACAGAAATACCGGAGGTCAAGTAAATTCGTTACATGAGGTCACACAACTCGGGTAATATTCAGGGTGAAAATTTGCATATTTGAGCGGTCGAACGAAAAATATCATTTCTCGAAAACTAAAATATATTTTCACAAAAAAACTACACCAAAATTATTAGGACATATTGGGCTAGAAAATATGAAAGTAAGAGAGAAAACGAATTTTGGGCGACTTGCCACAATATTTTAAATTTGTTCGATGGATGCTGACAAATTTATCTTAAAAAAGATTGGGAAATATATATTGCGTCCACATAATTGACGTGTAGTCAGCTAAAAAATTTCTTTTCCACCTAAATTTTATGTTGCATAAGAAGACAATTTTCGAATGGTTATGTTACTCTTTGGAATCGTAATACGGCTATCAGTGAATTTGTCGATTAGCTTTTTATTCAGAAAAAAATTATATGGTCTTTTAAGCATACTTAAGATTTGATTTTCTGGTAGAAATAGATAATTGACTTTTCGTTCCAGTGCATACTAACATGCGTATTGCCAATGCAGACGACCTGAGAGCTGGAAATGACCCGTCAGATGGTACGGTGCGAATTAATAATCGTTAAAATTAGGAAATAAGATTGAGTTCGATGTAACAGTCTCCACCTTTGTTAATGTTGATTTGCACCTGAAAATAAACTAGGAGTTCCAATAGTTCAGAGTAGAAACATTTTTACTTATTGTCTGAACCTGTCAATTAAAGAGCGTGTAATAAAAAAAAGGGGCATGTACACTTTTGAAAAACAACGAAACTAGTTGGAAAGGACTGTCATGACAGTGTTTTCTTCAAAAACAGTCAATAATATTACGGAAAGTATTATTCACTCTCTTCGACGATTAATTCATGAACGAAGATTTACCTATGATCATTAGGTAAAAGGCGAGGAAAGTAATTGTAAGTAAATTCAAATTGTTTATTTTTAAGTTGTGAGAGTTTGCTTATTCGTTTTCTGCACTGGCGTATGTAAATCTGGTCTTTCCTTCACAAAAACTAAATTCGAATGGGACACTCCAACGAGATATAAAGGGATTTAATGCGGCTTTTTCTCACTGAATTCCTTCAGTATCTGTTGTGCAATTTACGGTACAAATGTCCAAATTGAACATACTTGGAAAGACTCACCGGGAGCGTGCTTTTGTTGTAGAACTAAAAACTTCGCTCGTCCTTTCACTGCCAATAAATTGTTTGAGAGAATTCAGATGTCAGATGAATGAAAGTTTCATCGACTAGTTCAACTATAACCAAATACCTCGCGTTTTAACTTTCTAGGTACTTTTTGTGAACGATTAAAATTACTTACAAACGGTTTTTGGCCGCTTGTCAATCAACGTAATGACAAGTTTGCTTATACAAATTCATTTTGAAACCAATGTTTTTCTGTCAACCAAAGTGATTTGAGAGAGAGAAAAGAGAGGATTAATAAGTTATTAGTTATCGGCTTGAGGTAGTGACCGACGTCTTTGCTTAAAAATACTGCCCGGCGGGAAAAACGAGATATATTTATGAAATATGACAAGGTAGGGATGTACCCGCCGACTCACGAAAGCTTTACCGTTGTCCGTGGGTAGAGAGAGGAAAATACGGACCGCGTAAAGAATCAATCAGATTGCAGGATTCATTACCGTGCCCTCTGAAAAAAAGATTAAGTGTAGTATGAGTTTCTACGTCGGGGAATCTTGTCCTTTGCTTTAGTTGTGGACAGAAGGAAATAATGCTTTTTGATGTAGAAAACGAAAATAAAAGTTCACCTTTTAAAAAAAAGTTATAACCGAGAAGATCGTTCAAATCTTAGTGAAGTTTAACCTGCTGACCTCAAAAAAGGTTTGTGACGGCTGTCATTAGCAGATTCCAAAGACTTCCTAGTCCGTCACATTAAAATTTTCAGCTCCCGTGAAGAATGTGCTCTGCTGTCCGGTGGGAAGCTGATACGTGTGGCCGAGATTACTGTAACTTAAACCACTTGTGTTTGCGTTATTTGATATATGTAAGTCACACCCTCCTCCAAATGATGGCCCATCACAGAAAATGGCACTCTGCCGATCTTTTACAAGAAACATTTTTATCGGAGCCACTCCTTGCGGATTCATCATGCTGAATAGGACTGAATGACTGTGAGCAGTGCACGTAGCTACCCTGACCTGTTTCAGAAAAGAAAAACCAAAACTAATATTGATGCAAGTTTTGGAATAATATTCAACTGTTATATTTCTAAACCAGCTTTACATCATATCCGAAAAAAACGGCGATGATCCCGACTACTGCCCTCCTCCCTCTCCCATCCCTTCTACACACCCGCAATGTGCTGAGGTTAAGGCCGAAAAACATCGGTTAAAGCAGCTTCTATGAAGGAAAACCCTTTGAAACCTTGTTTTACAAACTACTTTAAAACATGTTTAAGCTCTGGTGTGAATGAGGTATTAGTTTTCTTTGCTATAGGTTTTTAAATTTTTTTGTCGTCGGTCAGAAATAAGAATTTATTTAGACGATCTTAGACAGTGCATGATACTACACAAGCAGTAACTGCATGACACTGGGCAATTAGATATCCCAGCTGTGTTAATGCGCCAGTCTCACTAGTGTGAATGGGCTTTAGTTTTCCTTGCCATTGGTTTTGCTCAGACGTCTCATTATTTCAGCTTTGGCCATGGGAAGAGATGTAAAACATACATGTCTACAAGATTTTTTAAATGCTGCGAAGTGTCGAGACAAGTGGTGATGTGAATGACTTAAAGAATGTTTAGAAGATCTTAGACAAGGCATTATACTCAATAAGCACTAAATTCAGACATTGGACAATTACGTATTCTAACTGGGTTAACGCACCAGTCTCACTGGGTAAAATGACCCTTGTAACATTATTCCACTAAGAAAACTAGAATATTTCGAAAATGTGGATAAAACCTCAAATGATGTGGTTGAATAATTTTTTGGGTATTGAAACTGACACGCTTTTGAGAGGGTCTGATCTAGGAGAGGGGCCCGGGGGGAGGGACTCTGGCCGCCCTAATACTTACGCCAGCAACGTCGGGCCTCCTTCGCTAAAGAGACATCTCTTGTATATAAAACTGATATGTTGTAACTTGTTTCCTATTACCGGTACCGTAACTAAAACATAAAAACAACGCGTCAAGCCTAAGTAGGCCTAACGCGCCTTTAAAAATCGTCTTGAACGAGTTCTTGAATCCACCAAACTATGCAATTTCCGCTCTTCACAATGGTGAAAGTAGGCCCTTTGGTGTCACATTTTGAGTGAAACGTTCGAGTTTGGAAGCCATCTCGGGAACTCCTGGAGACTACCAACCATTTAACACGCTTAGGTGTTCTTCATTCGCCAGAATCACTGATTCTTCAAAATATTTCGGTGCTTTAGATACTAACTCGTCTTGAATCCCTTGGATCTGGTGAAACTTCTTCCGCAAGTTCGTCCAGAAATGTTGCTCATTTTGGCAAAGTTAATTTCTAGTGCGGAGATAGTCGAGTATAAACCGGAAGTGTTTCCCATCTCGGTCGATAAAGAAAACTCCGTCTTCTGATGGTTTCACCTCGAACTTCCCGGGGAACATAGCAGCTAACATCGAGTCTGGATCTTTTGTCAGCGTTTGAAGACTTGTCGTAAAACGGCGGCCGCCAACATAGAGGTTTACAATCGACGAGAGAGTCTTGTTGCTTCTCGTTGAAATATCTCGCAGGCTTCTCTGATTTGATTTTCAGCGTCTTCAAGAACTTGATTACTTGTTAAATTATTTTCCATGAGAACTTTTTTCACCCCAGCTTTTTCTGGGAACTTATAAATGTTGAAATACTGTTTTAAAGTAGCAAGTCGGGTTCAAATCAGGAATAGGATCGTGGTCGTTTGTCAGCAAAACAAGTGATACGTGACTTGCGATAGCGTGACACGTTTCCTTCTCATCCTAATATTTACAAATTTGAAGAGCTCAGTGAAAGAACACTTTCAAAACATGCCTAAGTTGTTTTCATTGACTTGATTTCTAGATGTTATTTATCAAAGAACTACGCCCGTCACTTATAGCTACTTATCCGCGCAAAACTGTGAACGCAAGAATGTTCACATTATGCTATTTTGTCCCTTCACATGACCTTAACGAATATTTTCCAGATTATTATGTTTGAGAAAACATCGAGACGTCAAACAGCGGTCATATTTAGGTTAGTATCACCAATTATATCTCATGTCCGCCATTTGAATCACAATCAGTGTAGGCAGCATTTGCCCGATGAGTTAAATAGCTTCATGAATTTAAAGTTTGTTCCTTCAGCAAGAATCGTAATCCAAAGTATGACAATCCATATGAATACACAACCGACAAGTCAACTGTATATTTATTACGTTCCATAAAAAAAAAACCTACCAAATCCTGATATATGTTTGTTTTGTTTGATCCGGCTCTTTTCCGCCGGTGAAACGAGTGCACAAATGAAAAAAGTTTATGATAACTGAATCGTCTACGGCATTTCTACACATTTATTTTCTTAGGAATTCGAATTGTGTAGAATGGCTCCCGGAATCCACTCAAAATAAAAGTATTGAAAATATTTTGTATCAGTGCTTACGACGGCTTCTTTTCCGTCAGCCAGACAACTGGAAAGCTTTCCGTATAACCCAATACTATTCTAAAAAAAAGCCGAAGTCAAATTAAAGGCAATCTACTGTTTTTCCATTGCTTTCTCTGATCCAAGAACAGTATGTATAATGAAGTGTGGAACTTTGCTTGAAAAGATTTCCGTATAGAAATAGTCTGATGGTATAATATGGATTTCTACGGGAATCTTGTACTTCGCTTTAGTTGCGGCAGGCTGAAGAAAAACATGTATTTCGATGTAGAAAATGGAAATAAAAGTTAACCTTTTAAAAAAGTTATGAGCGAGAAGATCATTCAAATCATTGTGGAGTTTCACCTGCTGGCTTCTCAAATGTTTGTGACGGCTGTCATTAGCAGATTCCAAAGACTTCGAAGTCTGTTACGTTGAAATGTGGAGCTCCCGTGAAGAATGTGTTCTGCTGTCCGGTGGGAAGCTGATACGTGTTGCCGAGATTACTGTAACTTGAGCCACTTGTGTTTGAGTTAGGTGATATATAAATGTCGTGCCCTCCTCCAAATGTTGGACCATAGTTGCTCTTACACTTAATGGCATACTGCTGATTTTTTACAAGAGGCATTTTACACGGTGCCACTCCTTGCGGATTCACTATGCTAAACAAGAATGACTGTGAACAGTGTAAGTAGTCAGCGTGACCTGTTTCAAAGAAGAAAAAGACAAAAATATTTTTGGTACAAATTTTGGAATAACTTATAAACTCAACAGTCCTAAAGCAGCTTTCCATTATCACCATCTTATCCTACCGACTCAACCTTTCAAATGTGTTTACTTACTGTTCCATGAGTTTTCCGTGAAGCCTCCAAAAATATTGTTTCCACTTTTCACAATTGTAACCGTGGGTCCTTTGCTATCACATTTGGCGTGAAAAGCTTGAGCTGTGAAGCCATCTCGAGTTGCTCGGAACAGTTGATGCCAATGACTGTATTGAGGCAGCCAACCAATAAGCTTGCTTTGGTGCTCTTCATTTGTCAGAATCACTGATTCTTCAAAATTCTTCGGTGCTTTAGGCTTCAACTCATCCAGAATTCCTTGGATCTGGTAGAACTCAGCTTCATCTGAAAGTTCTTTCAGAAATGTTGCTCCTTCCGGTAAAGTCAACTTACCATTGCGAAGATAATTAAGTATAAACCGGAAGTGAGTTCCATCTCGGTCGATGAAGAAAGCGCCGTCTTCACAAGGTTTCATTTCAAACTTCCCAGAAAACATGGCTGCCAGCATCGAATTTGGATCCTTGGTAATCGTTTGAAGACTTGTTGTGAAGCGATGACCCCCGACATTTAGATGTATAGTTGAGGAAAAGTGAACATGTTCCAACTTCTTCGACATGGCATCGATCGCTTCCTGCTCTTGGCGAAGTCTAGCTGCTTCTCGCTGAAATATATCGCAAACTTCTTTGAAGTGATCTTCTGCAGCTTCCAGACCTTGTTTTTGTTGTTTCTGCCCCTTCGCAGAGGCTTTTTACTTATGGTTGCTTAGAGTACAAACGATATCCTGAAAACGAAAGGAACTCTCTTAACACTCCTGAAAGGCCTGTAACGGGAGATCAATACGTGGATTAAATAACACGGCTAGATAACACAACGATTCAATCTGACCGTAAATACACAATCAAACACGTGTGCATACATCCGGGATATCTCAGTTCTTATTGCCATGCACAACCCCATAGAGAATATTAGCAATATTGCCGTGAAGCGCGATAAATGCTGTCCTGCTTATTTAAAAGTAATTTAGTGATTTTTAAATGACCGGGTACAAACTGTTCGCAATGGCGCAACTTGTGACTATAACCCCACTCCTTGTTTACGAGAAGAAAAATTACTCGCACTCAAAGCAAAGACGTACCTGTAAAGGTGATAGCTGTTTCATTTTAAAAGATATCAAGACTGAGCCAGGCCGAGTGCTAAATCCAAAGTATATCATAGTTTCCCCAAATTGGGTTCATGATTGGCTTTTTAAAAATTGTAAACCATGTTGCTCTTCACCTTCTCTCTATGCGCTGATTTTCGTAAAAAAAGAAAAAAAAGGTTTCTGTTTGTACAAAAAGCAGCGCAAAATCTTTAATTAAATCTATCAACACCTGAAAAAATGACATTAATCAGGCGGTACAGAGTTATCTTAAATCAGGCAAGGGCCATTTCACGTCGTAATCATATAATTACTCTGAATTTCGATTTGATGCGTAGAATAGAGGCGGGGGAAAGATCATTTCATTGTCTGTGAGCATATTTATTTTTCATCTGGAGTTTGAAAACATTTACTTCGATTAAGAAAGAACGGAAAAAGATCTTGGTGCGATCCTTGAGGGCACGGCTATGTTCAGGGTGGTTTCCAAACACGCTTCACGCGCTAATTTTTTTGATGAGTTGATGCACCTATACCGGTCTTCATCTTTTTGGTACTGATATAAGTTGTACGTGTTCATAACAACGCTTACTAAGACATTCCTTCTCTACAGGGAGCGGTAGCTACTTGATAAAAATATTCATCCCAAGACCTTTTACTTCTGAACCTTTCTAGCCCCGATGTACCCTACATCAATCCCGCTCTGGCTCTTCATCCTTTCAAGAGCCAAATCCTTTCGTCGTCTTGTCTGCCTTTGTTTTTTTCGTCACGCAACGGCAACCATTGCATGACAAGAACACGTTGTGTGACGGGACCAAACAACGGTTGCGAAGAGGACTACTCACTTCCGCACTCACACTCATCATAAAAACCACTAAGGGATCAGACAGGATGCAAAGATCGAGCAAGGTGTGGTAAGAGCGTGACACCTCCTTTTGCCTTTCCTGTCGGACTTTATTTACGCCTAATTACGTTTAATTAATACGCATGCCACATTTCAATGACGAGTTCCGTTTGAAAGAAACAAGAGGCGACACGCATTTGAGATGAGTCGATTTCACTAGACACGGACTTAGGTGGCACAACCTGGCTAATAAAAAAAAAATTAAAAAAAGGAAAAAATAAAACATTGTAATAATTATTTGTACCAAAACAATCCCATCACTACAATCTGATTAATATATATGTTCTTAAATTTACTACAAGAAATGCTTGTAACTGCCACTGGCGACTAATACTAACTAATTCTAGCAATTTTTAACGCGGAACGAAATGACACGGTACGGTTAAAACTGCAAATAAAACAGCGAACGAAAACTATTACAATATAAACTAGACTAAATACACAAGGAAAGCTACAACGAAAACAACGAAGAAAACTACATGATACAAAACTTACATTTGTTGCGATGTTATAGATCCTGCCTAGTGGCGAACAAACTGCACGAAGCGAAAAGAACAAATATACCAAACCACACTCGACGAAACTACACTGCAAAACTGCCCCCAAACTACGATGAACAATAGGGTTAAATACGCGCTACGTTACGCAACGTTACGCAATGACACAAAGAAAGCGCACACAAAATTTTACTACAATTAGCACTCTTGCACAAGAACAATAAACAAACGAAAAAGAATGTAAGGCGTTGCGATCTACAATGCTTTTGTGGCATTTACTAACATATTACCGAAAAAACCAAGACATGCAAAATCGACCCTCTGTGATCAATCAGGTTGTAAAACTTATCAATGCATCTCACGCGGGTGATTAAACTTCTTAGAATTCTTAAACTAAGATTGAAGAGTGGCTTTTGAGAAATTGTGCTTTTAGGTCTTGTGCTTAACTATTTTAAGTGACTAACGACTAAAATGTTTCTTAAATTTGTGACAAATTTTGATTCAAATGGATGTAAGTCTCTTCCAGTTTCCAGGCAGAACTCCAGGCAGCACCCCAAACAGTCCACCAACATACCGCCTGATGTTATTGAGACTAAGTTTATGGTTGAGTTCTAAAATGAAAAAGTGACATGGGTATGTAAAGCTATGTTCAAACTAAAAGGGAGTTAGAATGATACATAGTTGCAAGTCAGAAAAAGAAATGAAGTGAAATAAACGATGTATTCTGCCACAGCTACATAAATCTCAACTAAGCCATCCTCGATGTGTGTTTTAAAGGACGTAACACTCTTTTACAGTTATCCGTTTAGAAGGTTTAGATCTTCGAAAAACCCAACAAAACAAAACAATTAAAAAGAAAAAAATAACCAAACCAAAAGAACGAAATAGTGAACGCCCATGACACCTTAGTCTTGGTGCAATTTAGGTATAAAAGTTATGATCTGCAGTGATGGTTACGAATCAGAGTGGCCCACTGATTTAGTTCTATATCAGCTTCAAACACCCCACTTTGGTTCCAGTAAATAATATAGCAACGATAAGGCAGTGTGTGAGTTGACCTTGTGTTCCTGAAGGGGAGCAGGGGGGTGGGGTGGAATAATTTGCTGACCTTGTGACGATTAAGGCGAGACGGTTCTCTATAAGCTGGCGAGAAATGACAAATCGAATAATGGTGAAGCCGATAAGCTGACCTGCGAGCTTTTTCCAAGGGGCCTTTTTCTAAAAGTAATGATTATGAAACACATAAATTACAGCTCTCAGGACATTTTATTTTTCTTATAGCCTGTTATATGGGAAGGAATATTTGGTTTGTTATTTGTGAAGTCCAAACACCTCGTAATCTGTAACTATAAAATGTTTTTCTCCCGCGAGGAATGTTTTAGCATTCTGTCCTGTGGGACACTGGTACGAGCAGCCTGAGATAGTGTGACTATCATAATTGATATTTGCATTTCCTGATATATGTAAGTCATGCCCTGCACCAAACGTCGGTCCATAGTCTGCTTTACAGAAGATAGCATGTTTGTGACTCTCAATTAAAAGCGGCATTTTAGTTGGACCCAGTCCACTAGGGTTGATCATGCTGAACAAGAACGCTTGTGAGCATCTTACCCATCCACTAGCACCTGTACATGTTTATAAGTGAGAGATGATGCTTCAGAATTGTTATTTGCATTAGAGAACATGAATAATCTAAATCAATAAGAAATCAATACATTTGCTAAAAAAGCGGCTACGTCATGATTAAATATGTTTTATTTAAACCGGGTTTAACTCAATGAAAATGAGAAACGGTGAACTAGAAAGCTGGTTTTCCCATAAGTTTCAGGTAGTCACTAACTTGTATTTTCAATGGGCTGATTTTAAGGCCGACAAACTTCAGTTTAAAAAGTTTCGAACAATTTCAAACCTTGTTTGAAAAAACAACTTTGAACATTTTTAAGCTTTGGTGTGAATAAGGTTTTGGTTTTCCCAGCTATTGGTTTTACACAGGCATCTCATTGTTGTAACTTTGGGAAGAAATGCAAAACATACATGTCTACAAGATTTTTTGATTGCTGCGAATTGTCGAGACAAGTGATGATTTGAATAGCGTAATATCTCTCGACATACGTAATCGTTTTCAGTCTCGTCGGCCAGAAAACAGAGAACGTTTAGACAAGGCATTATGTTCAACAAGCACTACATTCAGACATTGGGTCATTATATATCCCAGCTGTGTTATCGCGCCAGTCGCACAGGGTAACATGGCCCTTTTAACATTTTTCCACCAAGGTAGTAAGAATATTTCGAAAATATGGATAATATTATTGACAACACCGAGTCTCCTTCGTTAACCTAAGAAACACCTCTAGTATAAGAAACTAATATGTTGTAACTTGTTTCCCATTATCGTAACTAAAACATGAAAACAACGCGTCAACCTTAGGTAGGCATAGCACACCGAGTTCTTGACACCAGGAGCCCATACTTGATGGGCACTTGTCGACACTTATCGTTCATCTTGTTTATCATTTGCAATGCGTGTCAATATTTGGAAAAGTTTGAAGAAATTTGTTACACTAAATCTACTAATATTTCATTCTAATTTCCTTAACTTCTGATATTTTGCTATGTCAAAGCTCCTAAGCCAGCTTTTTCTCTCTTTTTTACGTCTCGTTGTCTCGTTGCGCTTTGTCATGTTGCCTAGTTTGAAATATCCTTCAATTCAAAATGTATCTTAGATGCCGCTGAATGCGATCAAAAATAAATTATTTAATAACCCTTTGACAACTAACATACTCACTGTCCCACGATTTTTCAGTGAATCCTCCAAAAATATAATTACCACTCTTCATGATGGTGACAGTAGGCCCTTTGTTGTCACATTTGGAGTGAAACGTTTGAGCTTGGAAGCCATCTCGGGAACCTCGGAATAGAAGCTTCCATTTGCCTTCTTGTGAAGACAACCAACCAGTTAACACGCTTCGGTGTTCTTCATTCGTCAGAATCCATGATTCTTCAAAATATTCCGGGACTTTAGATACTAACTCGTCTAGAATCCCTTGGATCTGGTAAAACTCAGCTTCTTCCGCAAGTTCGTCTAAAAATGTTGCTCCTTTTGGCAAAGTTAATTTCCCAGTGCGGAGATAGTTGAGTATAAACCGGAAGTGTTTGCCATCTCGGTCGATAAAGAAAGCGCCGTCTTCTAATGGTTTCACCTCGAACTTCCCGGAGAACATCGCAGCTAACATCGAGTCTGGATCTTTTGTCAGCGTTTGAAGACTTGTTGTAAAACGGCGGCCGCCAACATTGAGGTTTACAATTGAGGAGAGATGAACGTGCTCCATTTTTTGCGACATGGCGTCGATAGCTTTCTGCTCGTGGCGAAGCCTTGTTCCTTCTCGTTGTAATACCTCGCAGGCTTCTCTGACTTTATTTTCAGTGTCTTCAAGAACTTGGTTGCCTGTTGAATTACTTTCCATACGAATTTTTTTAACCCTAACTTTTTCCCGAGAACTAACAAATGTTGAAATGCTGTCTCAAAGTAGTAAGTCAGGTTCAAACGAAGAATAAATGCGTGGTCGTTCGTCAACAAGACAAGAGATGCGTGACTTGCGATAGCGTGACACGTTTGAAACATTTAAACTAATTCAATAACACGGTTTCAGCCACCGTTCTCATCTCAAGATTTACAAGTGCGAAGAGCTCAATGAAAGAACACTTTCAGAACATGCCTTATTTGATTTATAGATGTTATATATTAAAGAACTGCGCGTGTCACCTATAGCTACTTATCAGCACGAAAACTATGAACGCAAGAACTGGTTTACATTATGCTATTTTGTCCCCTCACATGACCTTAACGAATATTTTCTAGATTATTATGTTTGAGAAAACATCGAGATGTCAAACAGCGGTCATATTTTGGTTATTATCACCAATTATATCTTATGTCTTCCATTTGAATCCCAATCAGTGCGGTAGGCAGCATTCGTCCGATGATATAAACAGCTTCATAAATTTAAAGTTTTATTCTTACAGCAAGAATCGTAATCGAAAGTCTGGCGATTCGCTTGAATACACCACCGTCAAGTCAACAGTATATTTATTAAGCTCCATGAAGAACGGCCTAGCAAATCCTAGTTTTGTTAGTTTTATTTCATCCGGCTCTTTTCCATCGGTGAAACGAGTGCACAAGTGAAAAAAGTTTATGAATGATTGGATCGTTTACGGCTTATCTACACACTTATTATCTAGGGATTTAATTGTATTGAATGGCTCCCGCTATCCACCATAAATAACAGCGTTGAACAGATTTTGCATCAGTGCTTGTGACGGCTTCTTTTCCGTCAGCCAAACAACTGGAAAGCTTTCCGTATAACCCAATACTATTCAGTAAAACAAGGCTGTAATCTCAAATAAAAAGGAAATCTACTGTTTTGTCATTGCTTTTCTTTATCTAATAGCAGTATGTGTAACGAAGTGTGGAACTTTGCTTGAAAAGATTTCCGTATAGACGTAGTCTGATAGTGTAGTATGGTTTTCTACGGGAATCTTGTTGTCCTTTTCTTTAGCTTCGGACAGATGTAAATAATGCTTTTTGATGAAAAAAATGAAAATAAAAGTTAACCTTTCAAAAAAAGTTATAACCGTGAAGGTCGTTCAAATTATTGTGAAGTTTAACTTGCTGGTTTCCGAAATGTTTGTGACGGCTGTCATTAACAGATTCCAAAGACTTCGTAGTCCGTCACATGAAAATTTCGAGCTCCCGTGAAGAATGTGTTCTGCTGTCCGGTGGGAAGCTGATACGAGTAGCCGAGATTATTGTAACTTGAACCACTTGTGTTAGCGTTGTTTGATATATGGAAGTCATGCCCTCCTCCAAATGTTGGTCCATAGTCGCTTTTACAGTAAATGGCATTTTGCTGATTTTTTTCAAGAGGCATTTTACTCGGAGCCATTCCTTGAGGATTCACCATGCTGAATACGAATGACTGTGAGCATTGCACGTAAATACCCTGACCTGTTTCAGAAAACAAAAACCAAAAATATGATTGATGCAAATTTTGGAATAATGTTCAAATTTAACATTTTTAAAGCAGCTTTTCATCATATCAGAAAGGAAACTTTAAACGGCGATGATTTCAACTACTTCACTCTTCCTTCCCCCTCCTCCCTACACAGCCACCCACCCTCCCATGCGAAGTGTTGAATTAATCTATATACTTACTGTGCCATGAATTTTCCGTGAAGCCTCCAAAAATGTTGTTTCCGCTTTTGACAATGGTAACCGTGGGTCCTTTGTTGTCACATCTGCCGTGAAAGGCTTGAGCTGTGAAACCATCCTGAGAAGCTCTGAACAGAAGCTTCCATTTGCCGTCTTGTGGAGGCAACCAAGCTGTAAGCGTGCTCCGGTGCTCTTTATTCATTAGTATCACTGATTCTTCAAAACACTCCCGCATTTTATCCTTAAGCTCCCGCAATAACCCTTTAATCTGATAGAACTTAGCTTCAGCTTCGAGTTCCTTAAGAAATGTGGCGCCTTCTGGTACAATCAGCTCTCCGTCGCGGAGATAGTTTAGTATAAACCGGAAGTGTTTGCCATCTCGGTCGATAAAGAAAGCTCCGTCTTCTGATGGTTTCACCTCAAACTTCCCGGAGAACATAGCAGCTAACATGGAGTCTGGATCCTTTGTCAAGGTTTGAAGACTTGTCGTGAAACGGCGGCCGCCAATATTGAGGTTTATTGTCGAAGTAAGGTGGACATGATCTATTTTCTTCGACATGGCGTCGATTGCTTCTTGCTCCTGACGAAGTCTTGTTGCTTCTCTTTGCAGTACTTCACAGACCTCTTTGATTTGATTTTCAGCGTCTTTAAAAACTTGATTGTTTGAGTAACTGCCTTCTTTAAGGTTACTTTCACTCATGTTCTAACAAAGGAAGAACTCAAGTTGTTCCTGTACAGCACGCGGTAATGAAAGCGAAACTGTAGACAAAAAATTACAATATGGTAATGTCGCAAAATGAAAAGTTAAGAGTAACGCAATCTTTATAGCAGCGTGACGTTACATTTTCAGTCAAGGCTCTCGTTACAAGACGGTGAAAAAAATGTGATCTCCCTCCAAAACGGAGTTTTACTTGGCTCTCGCCACAAACCAATTTCCCTCTTGGACGGATGTCTGTCTTACAGACGGTTTAAAGTAGCTTTCCGATGAAAACTTATTTGTCTACTTATTTATTTATGCTACAAAGTTGAAGTTTATGTGAAGTCAACACATGCACATGGATAACAGATTTTCAGTTGGAGCCAACATCACAGAAGCAAGACTGAACCAAAATCGAGGAACAAAGGTTTCAAATGACAAGCCTGAAAGCTTGAATTTCTATTGGAAGAAGATCGAGAGATGCACTGCGATTGAAAATCATCCAGTAGGCAAACTTCCTCGAATACTATTATCAACAGACATATCTGGTATTTTTAGCTAGCTTCGAATTCCCACTGTACAACAAAAACATTAACAAAAGAAGAGGAAGACAAATAGTTGGATTGAAATAATAATTGAAAATTAATAATCAAGTTGAAAATTAATCAAGTAGTTTTAATTAAATAAATCAAATTAATGGTATTCGATAGAAGGAAATTAAACACCTCAAAATTTTCTGACAGGCTCTAGCTTTAGACTATAGCTTTGGATAGCTTTATTTCACTCTGTAGGTAAGCTTCAAAAATTTGCATTCCAGGTTGGATGATTATGTTGTCCATACTATAAAAACTGAGATAAGCTTTGAGAGCTATCCCACTCATTTAGTTCGGTATCGTTTGGAAGCTAAAATCTTAAGGTTTTAATAAAGTTAACGTAGTATTTTCGGAGGTATTTCCAGTTATCCATTCCTCCAGAAACTTGGAGTAAACATTTGAGAGGCATTAAGATAACTCTTTGCTTGAAATACTTTGGTAAAATTGTTGTGGATGATATTTCCAAAAGGACTGCTGTTTGATAAATTGTCACAAGAAATTCCTTTTTGTTACTGCTGTTGTTGCCTACCCCTTCATTCATGTACAGTTATAATCGGACAGTGTAATTGGACAATTGGCTGTAATTGGACACCTGTAATCGGACAGTTGAAGCAGCCAATCATACTAAGTCCACTCAGCTAAATATACCAATCACAGAATTGATCACAATAACCATAGCGACAACCACTTACCCTGGAAAGAAAACTAGGAAATTTCCAAATTTTTTGCTTCAGACATTGTTCCTAAAGGGAATTTTTGTCCTAAATGTTTGTTTTTTTGTTTCAGAAGACTTCGTGTCGTCCAATTCTGTCTGTAATCATACTCGTGATTGACAAATCGGACTCCTGTCGACGGAAAAGCCCCTAACTTTAGAACAAAATCATAATATTGATTTACATGTAAGGGAATATAAACTTATGTTCTCTTGGTGCATGTTATAATTTTTCTCGGTTGAATAACTGGAATAACAATGCATAGGTGGGATAGCAAGAGTTTCTGATATTTATTGGTAGACTTTGGATTTTATTCATCGTGAGAGACTCATAATTTTATTTGTCTCGGGCTCGCTTGTTTGGCAAGGTCTATAACTAACTTGAAGTTAAAGCGAAGCCCCATAATTATACAAAATAGTAGTAACCTTTCAAGCCGAAAAAATTTGGATTTACGACCGTACGACCGTACAAGGTGCTACTTTTAACATGCGTGGTCAACTGTACCGCGGGCACGCCCAACGCCACGGCTTTGTCCAGTAGTCCAGTGGTCAGTGCACTGGGCTCCGAGTCGGGAGTCGGACTACCCGGGTTCTAGTCCTGGCCGGGGCAAGGCGTTGTGCTCCTGAGGCGTGCGGGGAAAAAAAAATGCGAGCTCCGCTTTTAGGCTTGGCTAAATCTATACATTACACGGACAAGGTTTCAGATTTTTAGACTTATTACATTATTTACACATTTGTAAAAAAAAAAGGCAGCACTTTTTCAAACACGTGCATCGCTCCCAAAGTTTTTAATCGTTATACGTGTAGCCGTTTAAGGCATATTTTTTTCATGAACGATATAATTAAAAGAACGGAGGATTCTCTGCCTTTAAGTGATCAGACAACTAGAGCTAAAAGTAATTAGACTGAGAAGATGTTTATATACGCCATGTTCGATCCTAAAGTTTGAAAGTTTCAAGTTCCAAAAACCTCGTAATCCGTGACAGAAAAATATTTGCTTCCTGTTAAAGGCAAGTCAGTGTCAGAAAGAAAATTGACTGAGCGAGAGAGGTTACTGTAATTAGAATTGGTCTCGTTCGCATTTCTTGATATATGAAGGTTGTACCAGCCACCGAATGTTGGTCTACAGTTGTTGTTGCAGAAAATGGCGTTTTCTCTGCTCTTGATTTCAGCAATTTTGATTGGTCCCAAACCGTGTGGATTTACCAAGCTGAACAGAAATGACTCACGACAAGGCACCCAGCGACATTGACCTATAGGAAAGGAATGAAAATAGTTTGACATTTTTAGGGACATAAAAAAAGATATGGTCTTACATGAAGTAGTATCTCCCTATTTTTTTTTTTTTTATCCCTTAACCCCTTAAGAGAGACTAGCATCTAATTTCTCCCCACAGTATCAACCCTGAATCAAACATTATGGTCATGAGAATGAAGGAAATGATCACCAACTAAATAAGTTCTTGATTGTTTGACAAATTCTCCCTGTCAGCACCTTAGGAAATGTTCAGAGAGCAGTATGGAGAATATACATACTGATGTTAGAGTGTAAAGGTTATGCATAAGTGAAATTCTTGTAAATAAAACACCCAGGCTTGCCCTCAAATTCTGCACTTGTTGTCGGACAAGACCTTCCTTGAAAATTCTGAAAACACTTCTGACTAAAAGCTCACACTGATCTACAAGATTAGTTTTTACTCACCCTCTTTGGTCTTTTTTAATTCGAAAGCCGAAGAAAAAATGTTAAAACTGATCAACTGCATGATTTCATTTTTGATGCTTTTACTCTTCGAAACTCCGTTTGATTATTGAATGACAAAATAATTTCCACTGTTAGAGGTTTTCACACGTTTCTCAACGCTTGAAGTAAGCTGCCTGCATGTGCATGTTTGAGGGTCTCAGTGGGGTGATAGCTTTTACCGTTAACGGTTTACATTTTGGACAATTTACAGCTAACAATTAACCTATTTCCATTGTGTTCACCAGAAAAAAAATTTATGTTTAACTTTTTTATTTTTTTTTACAACTAATGGATAAAATTTGTCAATTTTACACCAAACGGCTAAATTTGTTGGCAGTTTTACGGCTAACGGTTCAAAATTCCCGTTGAAAACATCATGTTTAATCTAAAAGTATTATTTATTCTTCCGAACTGATATCTAGCTTGTTTTCTGGTTTATGGTTACGATTTCGTTGGCTTTGTTTCTCGAAACTAAGCTGAAGATGAAGTTGTCCCTTACGTATACAAAACCTTCTCTGTGAACTTACTTGTCCACGAAATCTCTGTAAAGCCTCCAAATATGTTATCTCCACTCTTAACAATGGTAACCGTAGGTCCTTTGTTATCACATTTTGAATGAAAGGCTTGAGCTGTGAAGCCATCTCGCGAAGCTCGGAATAGGAGATGCCATTCAGCTCCTTGATCAGGAAGCCAGCGTTTCAGTAATTTACGATGATCTTCTCCTCTCACAATTTCCGACTCTTGGAATGATACTTTGGATTTCAATTCATCCATTAAGCCCTGAATTTGATAAAAGTTTGCTTCTGCCTCAAGCTCTCCGAGATTGGCTGCATTCGCCGGCAAAGTCAGTTTTCCAATGCGAAGATAATTGAGTATAACCTGGAAGTGAGTTCCATCTCGGTCGATAAAGAACGCACCGTCCTCAGAGGGTCTCATTTCAAATTTTCCAGAGAACATGGCTGCCAACATTGAGTTTGGATCTTTTTTAAGCGTTTGGAGGCTTGTTGTGAAGTGTTGGCCACCGACGTTGAGCTTTACGGTAGGGAAAAAAGGAGGAAGCTGTTTCTGGTTTGCCATAATGTTGGGTTTACTCAGCAGGTGTAGTCTACGTTCGTCGTCAGAGAACTGAGTACTTCCAGTGGTTTCGCACCTTAAAGATGAAAATGATCCTATTTATCTAAAATTCATAAGAGTCGTTGTTCTTTTAACTCGCTTCAGGTCTCATTTTCACGCCGCAATTCATATCGCTATTAAGAATCGATGAGTTACGTTAACTCCCAAGCTTGTTTATAATATAAGACTTGGATGTCGATAGTTTTCAAAATCTAGTCTTGTTTAGCATATTTCCGTTTTTTAAGCTCCAATAGCTCTATCTCGATCGACAAACACGAAAAACATAGAAAGAAAGCTTTATAAACGAATTGCGATTTAAAGACCCCAATTTATCATTCTACCGCAAAAATTTTGGCGGCTACTGAGAGTGCATATATTCTCGAAGTGGACAGAGAGTACCTGATCAACCCAACAGTACTAGTACCGTGAGTACAAAAAAAATTCTTGACACTCTAGAATATGGCTCGAAACATTATCAAATTAAAAGGACAATCCATTAATCTTACTGTTTGTCTTTCATTTGTCAACAGGAAACTTCCCTTTTCAATTTCGGCGTGAAGTTAAAACTGTATTCAGTATGGTTGCAAGTATTTCTTGTGAGAAAACTTACGGGTTACTGGCTCTTTGCGTCATGATCAAACAAGGTCATCAAGGTTGTTTATACAAACCGGCAATTTGAAAGCAAGTACGTGACTGTTCGGTTGGCTGAAATCTCATAACAATGACTGGCAATCAATTTAGACTGTATCTGCTCGTAGGTTATTATTTTAATTTGTAGTTTGATAGGCTGCTGGCATTAGTTTTTTCCCTTTGGCGCACACGTGTCTGAACAAATCAGTGCGTGATTTCCGCCGGATACATTTCAATCTGTTCTTATAGACAGAGTCTCCATCTGAAATGTTTA